AAATAGGTTGAAGAAAAAAAATAAAATAAAAAGAACTAAAAGAATTAGCAAGAAGCAAGTTTCATTTGCCTAGCATTATTAAATTCCAACACTCAGATGGAAAAACGTTCATGTCTTAAAAGCTCAGATCTTGGAATCTTTTGCAGGAGGAGTGTTGGCAAACTTCCACTGCAACGCCATGAATATTCCGAGAGTTCTCTCCCCAGCTACTTGGTCGAGTGGTACAGCATCAGAAACCTCTTTCACGTCTTCTTCCGTCAGCTTCAACCCCAAGGAACCAATGTTTGTATCCAGGTTCTTAATCTTTGTTGTCCCTGCAGTGGAAGTTCAAAAACAAATGAACAATGAGTTGATTGAGTGTGTATTTCTCTTCGCCCAATTCAAGTGCGTGTAGAATCTCCTCAGGAACATTAGTAACTGCAAAATATATGAACAAACCTGGAGCTAACGGCTTTTTAGTTATGAGTTCTAACTCACAATGTAGCGTACTTCGAGCTCAAGTAAAATGAATTAATGAAATGAAAGCTGTTTTTCTGTTTCTATAAACCATTATAAGAACACGCACAAGGCACAACCCATTGGCATGGAAACATTGAGCTGCAGATGCGATTTACCAGATTTCGCATCAATTAAATTTGAAGAGAATAAAAATGTTACAAGGACTCACCCGGGATAGGTACGACATCAATTCCTTGGTGGAGAACCCATGCTAGTGCTAGTTGAGGAGTAGAGCACTGGTGCTTTTTAGCAATGGTATCTATTCGATGGTAAATGTTCTTGTTCTTGTCTAAGTTCTCTCCTGTGAACCGCGGCTGTGAGGCCTTCAAAACGGAGGAAAACAAGGTTTCAATAGGCACATATTTAAGAACAACATGATTAGAATCAACAATTACTTCTACAATAGCTGGAGCAGAAGAAATTACCACAAAACTATTTGCAGGCAAACTTTCAACAACTGCTTTGCCACCGAAAAAACCACGACCAAGTGGACTATATGGAACTATTCCGATGCCAAGCTCCCTATATGTGATAACATTGGACAAAATAATTCACACAACTAGAGTTATTATCGTAACCCCAATCAACTTTTACAACTACAATGGATTTATACGTACGAGATCATCTTCAAAAGCACTCCCTTTTTTCCCCTTACAGAAACAGAATTATGGAAGCAATTCATAGTAACACTTGTGCTTAGCTCAGATTGGAACATACCTGCAAAGAGGAACAATCTCTTCCTCAATATCACGAGTCCAGAGGGACCACTCCATTTGCAGAGCCGTGATCGGATGAACTGCATGCGCCCTCCTTACTGTGTCCGGGCTGGCTTCAGATAACCCAATATACTTTATTTTTCCTTCTTCCACCAGTTTCTTCAGCTCACCCATCTAAACTCCACGAAAAACAAGCATACCTAATCAATTTTTCCAGCCAGGTACCCACTATTTCTAGATGTGGATATATAAAGTGTAGAACTTAACATGTTCAATATTCTACACTGTTTCTAAATGAAGAGACTGACATACAGTTTCCTCTATAGGCACCGAAGTGTCCACCCGGTGGTAATAATACAGATCAATGTAGTCCACGTCAAGACGTTTCAAGCTAGACTCGCAGGATGAGCGGACATACTCAGGAGTTCCCTTCGCTGAAATAATAAGAGGATTCCCTTGTCCAACAAGACCAAACTTTGATGCCAACTGAACTTTTTCCCTTGGCAACTGCTTCAAGGCCTAAATGGCATAAAATTTTCAATTAAAGTTACAGAATAACAATGAAAAGACACGCATATAAAAAGCAAGGATAGATACATTCTGCTAGTCGTCTACGACTTCACAAAGTTTATCTATCATGCATCAAACAATGCAAATATTTTACTTCTAGTTAGTCTAAAGAAGTAGCTCGATAAATTCACAAGCGGAAACACATACCTTCCCAACAAGAACTTCGTTCGTATGAGGTCCGTACACATCAGCTGTGTCAAAGAAAGTGATTCCTTTGCTGAAGGCATGTTTATTATAGCGATACCATCCTCATCAGCGACAGGAGAGTTGTAACCCCCGGTAAGGCCCATGCATCCGAACCCCAATTTTGAGACCTGCAAAATTTGAAAGAATCAGGAAAAGTTGAGTACGTTTACAACTACTGTAAGTAAGCATCTAAATCAACCTCTGGAACAAAGGTTAACCTCAAAACCAAAAGAATTTAAAGCTCAGTTAATGTTCTTTTTGTCTGTCCTTTGAGAAAGTGAGCCCAAAAAGCCTTGAAAGAATAATATGGATTACTAAGTTAGAGCAAATCTGATCAGTTCCATTGCAGGATCAAACATATTCACTGAACAAAATTCTGTCTGAAGAGAGAAAGACAGAGTTTGAATGGACTCTGGCCGCGTTTGGTGATTAGGATTGGATTGGATTACTTATAAAATTGAAGGTCTGCTGAAGGTGGAGGCGAATGATTTTTCATTCCGAGAGAACTAGAAGGGATTAGACACGAAGGAATCTTATCCCTCCTAATCCTACCAATTTCTAAGGATTGGAGTGGAAAAGCTTCGTTAACAACTAATCCATCTTCTACCTTTAAAGTTTTTCGAAAAGAATTTCTTCATTTCTTCCTTCAACATACCTCGAATACAACGAGTAATCTCGAAGACAACGAGTTATGTAATTCAATCCAAGGCACCGAACGAGCACGTCTAGGAAACTAAAAATGGAATCATTGTTACCTCAAATCCCCAGTATCGAAGTTTAACTCTTGGACTCAATATTCCCATCCCCTCCTCATCCATACTATCTTCTTCTTCTCTAAGATTAATTTACCACTCACACCATTGACCATCTTAATAAACATTTCCCAAAACCAGGAAAAACTATAGGATTTGACCCAGCACCAACAAGGTCATCATCAACTTCACTAAATTTTGCATTTTTACCACCAAATTTGGTCTGTTTGCAGCAAAGAAGTTGACTTTTTTTCTGGATTTATGCAAGTGGGGTTATTAGGAAATCTGATATGAACACAAACAACAATCTGCACTTCTCCAAAGAAAGAAGAAAGAATGAAAGTTGGGGTATTGAAATTTGAAAGCTTGAATGTGAGATTTTACCTCAAGTCCTTGGCTTCCCAGTTTAACTCTTGGAACTTGGACTTGCTTCTCTTCTGCCATCCTTCCAAACTTTTGGCCTCTCTCTCTCTGACTCCCTCTCTCCCTAGATTTTAAAGGTCCCTCCCACTCTCAGAGTTGTTGGATCAGCTGGAGCCTGAAGGGTAGGTGGACTGTCTGTACTCGATTAATATTTTTAAAGGGTTTTAATAAGGAATCTATCGAGTTTGACGGAGAATCCATGGCTTTTTAAAGGAGATGATTGTCTGCCGTCCCATACCCTCATGTTTTGTGGGATCACGATTAAGTTACGTTAACATTTATTTTTTATCTTATTATTTTTATAAAAAAAATTAATATAAAATGTTGATGTAGCTTAACTGTGACTGCACAAAACAGGAGGGCATGGGGAGGGTATGGGAAGGGAAGGGCAGACAATCCATCTTCCTTTTTAAAACCGTTTAAAACTTGAATTGAATTAGAAGAGTAAATTGTAGCAATGGTCCCTCAACTTTAATCAAATTGGAGCAATGGTCCCTCAACTAAAAATTCATTACCATTGGTCCCTCAACTTATCAAAATGTGTAGCTATAGTCATTTTCATCAATTTCGTCAAAATTTTGGTCCCTCAACTTATCAAAATGTGTAGCTATAGTCATTTTCATCAATTTCGTCAAAATTTTGTCAAAATAAGTTATGTTGGAATTACCATTTATATAATTAGGGTCCATCAACTCATCAAAGTGTGTAATCATGGTCCTTTTCGTCAACTACGTCAAAACTTTTATCAAAACGAGTTATGTTGGAATGACCATTGCTACAATTGGGTTAAAGTTAAGGGACAATTTCTCTAGTTGAATTAAAGTTGAGGGACCAATGGTAATAGATTTTTAGTTGAGGGACCATAGCTACACGTTTTGATGAGTTGAGGAACCAATGGTAATGAATTTTTAGTTGAAGGACCATTGCTCAAATTGAGTTAAAGTTAAGGAACCATAGCTACAATTTACTCGAATTAGAAATGAGTCCAAAAATCTAAGTGTATTCAATAAAGTTGAGATATAACGTGAAAAATGCACTATTTTATTTTGTTCATCCATCTTTTTTCTTGTTTTGTTCATCCATTTTCTCTTTTTCGGTTCGTCATTTAATTTTATAAGGGAATAATATTATTTTGTTTGTCAATTAATTTTATAAAGAAATAAATTCTCTATCAAATTCTTTATATTATCCATTAAAAGTCCTTTCAAATCCAAATTGGATGTGCTGAAACTGAAAAAGAAATGGCCTTTAATTTTATAAAGGAATCGATTCTCTACCAACTTCTTTACATTATCCATTAAAAATTCTTTCAAATCCGAATGGAGTGTACTAAAACTGAAAAGGAAATGATCTTTTAATGCAAAAAGGAAATGCACCAGCCGGGAATCGAACCCGGGTCTGTACCGTGGCAGGGTACTATTCTACCACTAGACCACTGGTGCTAACATGTCATATTCAGCTCCCACCCACATATTAATAAAACATAAGAGCGTTTGTCCAACATTGGCCATAACAATCAAATGATCAAATATGAGATAATCACATGCAAATTGAAGAAAATGGTAAATTGTACAATGTCTTTTTTACTCTGTTACATGAGGAAAATTCAAGGGCATTTTTTTCTATCCAAACTTTTTTTATGTTTCAAATCACTCAATTTTCACAACTTGTATTTGCAACGCACACTTACGAATATGAGGTGACCGACCTTAAGGGTCCGACTCCTCTCAAGACCGGTCTTATTACCACATATTGAATTCGGGACAATATGGTACTTCAATGCTTAATTTGCTAAACTCAAGCCCACAAAGCATGAATTACAACTACTATAAAAAATCTTTCCAAAGTCTAAGGAAATTGAACGAAGAGATGTTAAGAAATGAGAACAGATAAAGTATAGAACACGAGTTTCAACTTTCATTTGTTATTAACACGATAAAAACTTCATCCTGCGCTTTTCTCCTCTCTTTTTTTTTTCACACAAGAGAGGAGTGCACGATGACTTTCTAGGTAATGTAAATAGCAGCTTCCGTTCACAAAATACAATGTCGTTCAATTCCGACCATCAGATGGAAACGTTTCCATGTCCTAAAGCTCAGATCTTGGAGTCTTTCGGAGGAGGAGTGTTGGCGAGCTTCCATTGCAGCCCCATCAGGAGTGCATGATCTCTATCACCAGCTACTTGGTCGATCGGTACAGCATCACAAATTTCGTTCAGGTCCTCTTCCTTCAGGCACACCTTCAAGGAGTCAATGTTTGAATCCAGGTTCTTAATCTTTGTTGTCCCTGCAGTCGAAATTCAAAAACAAATAAACAATGTGTCGATGACGAGTTCTAAATCACAATGTCATATACTTGGAGCTCAAGCAAGATGAACCGGAAGCCGGTTTTCTATTCTATCTAAGACAACCATTATAAGAACAAGCACAAACTCACTGGCATGGAAACAACGAGCTGCAGATGCAACGTAGCAGGTTTCACATCAAATGAACTTGATGAGAACAAAAATGTAATGAGGACTCACCCGGGATAGGTACGACATCATTTCCTTGGTGGAGAACCCATGCTAGGGCTAGTTGAGCAGGAGAGCATTCGTGCTTTTTACCGAGGATTTCTATTCGGTTGTACATGTTCTTGTTCTTGTCTAAGTTCTCTCCTACGAACCGGGGATGTGAGGCCTTACAAAACGAAGAAAAACAACATGATTAGAATCTAACCCTACGCTGTCATTTTTCGTTATTCTACAGAACCACCATTTACTTTTACAATGGACTGAGGAGAAGAAATTACCACATAACTATTTGCAGAAACACTTTCAACAACTTCTTTGCCACCGAAAAAACCACGACCAAGTGGACTATATGGAACTATTCCGATGCCAAGCTCCCTATACACGATAGCATTGAACAAAATGATTCACAAAAACTACGATGAACTATACATACAAGGCCATCTTCAGAAGCATCCCCTTTTTTAACGGAATGATGGAAACAATTCATGGTAGCAGTTTTGCATAACTCAGAGTCTCAGATTGGATTTTGAACATACCTGCAAAGTGGAACAATAACTTCCTCAATATCACGAGTCCAGAGGGACCACTCGATTTGTATAGCTGTGATCGGATGAACTGCGTGTGCCCTCCTTATTGTGTCCGGGCTGGCTTCAGATAACCCGATATACTTTACTTTTCCTTCTTCCACAAGTTTCTTCAGCTCACCCACCTAAACTCCACGAAAAACAAACGTATCTAATCAGTTTATACACAAGTTTGGTGCTTTAGTTGATTGAGGAGAAGAATGACGTACAGTTTCCTCTATAGGCACCGAAGAATCCACCCGGTGGTAGTAATACAGATCAATGTAGTCCACATCAAGACGTTTCAAGCTCCCCTCGCAGGATGAGCGGACATACTCGGGAGTTCCCTTCGCTGAAATAACAGGAGGATCCACCTGTCCAACAATTCCAAACTTTGTAGCCACTTGAATTTTCTCCCTTGGCAACTGCTTCAAGGCCTAAATTACGCAATGTTTCAGTTAGAATTACAGAACATAACAACCGCGAAAGGTAACGGTAGCTGCATTTTTCTGCTCCGCCATACAAAACACATGTATAAAACATGAAGACATATAAATCTATCATGCATTAAGTAACTTGATAAATTCAGCAGTGCAACACACATACCTTCCCAAGAAGAACTTCGTTCGTATGAGGTCCGTATATATCAGCTGTGTCAAAGAAAGTGATTCCTTTGCTGAAGGCATGTTTTATGATTGCGATACCATCCTCATCGGCAACAGGAGAGTTATAAACCCCACTCAGGCCCATGCATCCAAACCCCAATTTTGAAACCTGATTAACAAAGAAAACAAAAAATTTGTAACAAATCAGGAAAAAATTGGTAGAAATATATTTTTAAAAAATTGAGCTACTTCCAACCACAGAAGGTAAGCATCTAAGTCAAACTCTGCAACAAAGGTTAACCTCAAAACTCAAAGGCCTCGTTTGATAGAGAGGATTGGCTTGGGTACGACGATTATTCATGAAGAAAAAAGTTGTCCTTTTTAATCCTACCATTTTGTAGGGACTAGGAGGGATATATTTTCTTCATGAGTAATCTTCAACATGGACAAAATCTTCTCATCTATTTCTTCCTTTAAAATGCCTTAAATGTAACGAATAGTCCTATCAAAATTAGTCCTCCCTATCAACCAAGGCCTAATGAAAATGGAGCCTAGAAAGCATTGAAAGATGCAAAACGCTTAAGTCTCGTTTAGAGTCAAGGATTGGATCAGATTGGGTAACTCAGTAGATTTAATGGATTTTGATAGAAAATAAATGTCAAGTTCCAAATTTGGTCCAAGCCGAGATTAAGAGATTGGTCACGAGGGAAACTTATCCCTTCCAATAGGATTTGGAGGGATAAGTTTTCTTTGTGACTAATCCATCTTCCATTCTTCCTTCAATATGCAATGAGTCTAACGAGTCTAATCCAATCCAATCATCGACACCAAAACAAGCCCTTACATCTCTTTCTTTTACCAAAAAACTGGAGATTAGTAAACTTTAGGCACCTTGTGATGAGTTACATACTACACAACCAACCATTTACTCACTTTCAAAAAATAATCTGAGAAACAAAAGACATAAATTGAAACACTTTTCAGAATCTAAAAATGGATTAATTAATTAATTCATACCTCAAATCCACAGTTTCCAAGTTGCACTCTTGGAATCTGTATTCCGATCTCCTCAGCCATACTGTTCCCCTCCCTCTCTGAATTTCTTCGAAGAAAGAAAAGCAAAAAAGAAAAAAACCAAATGAGAGAATATATTTATATGATTTGAAATCACAAACTGCTGAACATTATTAGCCTAAATAACAATCAAAGTCTACAGCTGCCAACACTGACCAAGTGATTTTTCGTTGCAGAAAAGTCCAGGATAAGATATATTATTGGCACTCCCTCCCACCTCATTGGATCACAGACTTTGGTCTGTTTGCAGCAGAGAAGTCAATTTTTATTTCTTAGAGTGATTTCCGTACATCGTTTTTTTAACTTCCGCACAATCTTTTTAAACTTTAGCAATTGATTTTTCATTAATTTGTTCAATTTAATGATGAAAAAAAATACATACAGTAGGTGAAAAAGGTGTGCATAAATCATTTTCATTTTCTTTATGCATACGGAAAGAAATCTGATTTCAACATATACAATAAAGAAAAAAATGGATTGAAAATTTGGGTGTCCAAAGACATAATGTGAGATTTTACTTTTTACCTCTCAAGTCCTTGGCTGCCCAAATTGACTCTAGAAACTTTGGACCTCTCTCTCTCTCTCTCTCTCTCTCTAAAACAAACATAAAAATATGAGAAAAAGAAAAAAAATGGAAATGCACCAGCCGGGAATCGAACTCGGGTCTGTACCGTGGCAGGGTACTATTCTACCACTAGACCACTGGTGCGAACATGTCGATTACAGCTCCCGCTTTATTATTGGCTCGACAGGAAAAGAAATTATACCGAATAAAAATATTGCAAAATACATAATGTCTTTTCTACCCTACTCCAAGATGTAAAAGTAAAAGCAAATGGCATTTTTGACTATCCAAACTTAGTTACGATTAGGGGTGGGCAAACGGGTTTTGTACCCACGGGTAGGGGTGGGTACCCGTAGTACGAGGTGGGTACAAAATTTTAAAACACAAAATGGGGCGGGGCGAGGCGGGGCAGGTAACCAAAATTAGCAGGGCAAGGCAGGTTCAAAAATAGGAAGGAGTGGGCCCCCGGCCCCACCCGTTTCTAGCTTGAGAAAATTGGATGGGGTTTAATGTTTGTCAAATCTCACTCGCCACCGTTGATTTCCATATTTTCATCTCACACACACACACCCCCTACTTGTGTTTCCTCATCCCCCAATCTCTCGAACCTTCTCCCTTCTCCCTCATTCCTCTCCTTGTTTCTTCTTCTCCTATCTCTGCAACTCTCCTTCCCAGAGCATAGACACACCACACCCACACACCACTGCGACCTCCACTATCATGGCGTACACTCCAGCAAGCACCATCACCATCTGTGGATTGTTCCTCCTCACTTTTTCACCTCCCTACGATCGGGTCTGGGTGAGCGGAGAGATCAAGTTTCGTTGCTCTGCGGCTGGTCCTTGATTTTCTACAACTGAATTTTCAACTTAGCGTCTGTGCGTGGGAGGGAGGCAGTCAGAGAGAGAAGACTGGGTAGAAGTAGAGTGTGAGTGGGTTGATTTAGGGCTGGGCACGTGCTGAAGGAGTTGAGGGGTTGGGATTCCTAGGATTGGGACTCCATGGGCTTGAGGGATTCAAGGTTGAAGGAGAGGATGGCGACGGCGTGGCCTTGGCGGAGGGAGGCGGAGACGTCGAGGAAGGTGGCTGTTTCGCCACAAAAAAAAAAAAAAAAAAAAACGGTGGTGGTGTGTCAAGATCGTCGAAAGAGCTGCAGCGATATCGAAGAAGGTGCTGGAAGAAAACCTTTAGGGTTAAGTGTTTGTTTGGGCTCAAAACTTTGTTTAGGCTTTTAGGTTACCTATGAGGTCCATTTTTTTGTTTATGTGGACATTGTATTTGGATCAAACTGATTGAATTGTATCCACACAAAAAACAAAAACAAAAAAACCCGTGGACCCGGTCCGTTTCAACCGGGCCGGGTAAGGTCCGGTTCCTATCTTAGAAAATGTTATCCCCAGCCCGTGCCCACCCCTAGTTACGACCATGTTGAAGCAGAAAATATTACAAAATCTTGAGGAAGAGGGGCCGTGTTTCTTTTTTTTTAAGCCTAATATGTGGACAAGATAAATTGAGTAACTTAGAGTACGTGTAGTCTTTGGCTTCACACAAGGAATAACTTGCTTTGATACCATTAAAAAAGTTGAGGTTTAGTCATAAAATTATTTAGCAATATAGAAAGTAAACCAATTATTTACAAGCACATGTAATGTACCTTTTTTTTTTATGTGAGATTGATACTCTCAACAGATTAAACGTTTTAGGATAATTTTTCTCACAATCTTTGAGTGTATTTTCTTTTCTTTTCACTTTGGATTATGCATTAAACTCGACAATTGTGATTGTATTTGTAAATTTATGGCATGTCATTACATGGATGTTTTCGATTTCAAGCCTCCAAGTGCAAGTAGAGTTACGAGGCCATGGACAGAGCTTTAACATGGAGATGGAGTCTCTAAGTTAGGGCTCGTTTAAAAGTATATATTTTAAACGATTGAAAACATTTTTAGAGAAAAAACTTGTTATGTGCTTCTTGTAGGAATTACTTCAAATGCTTTTCTAAGATTCACTTGTATATTTACTAAAAATTGGTTACAAAATTATTTTCACCAGAAGTGCTTTCGATCATGTTAAAAGCACTTTTAAACGAGTTCAGCTCTTATTATATCAATAAAAAATGCTAGGCATGTCAACGGAAATGAGCAGTATTGGCCAAATAGTACTACAGGCACTTTAAGTACAAGTTGGTATGTTGCTATGCTTTTGCTGGTGTATTTGCAAACTTCCATGAGCTGCTAACGAAACTGTCACCATATCTTTCCCCTGCGGCACCGTTGATGGGTATCGCATCAGAAACCTCCTTCACATCTTCTTCAGTGAGTTTCACTCTCAACGATCCGATATTATCATCGAGATTTTTATCTTTGTCGTCCCTAAAAGAATACAATGAGATGTAAGTATACTTCGTTTTCAAGTTTATTAAAAATGGTTCGTCCAGTTAGAAAGTTAATACGAACATACCAGGGATTGGTACCACGTCATCACCTTGGCTAAGAATCCAAGCTAGGGCAACTTGTGCAGGGGTGCATCCGTGCTTCTCGGACAACTTTCGTACGTTGCCAAAGATGACCTTGTTCTTCTCCAAGTTGTCTCCTGTAAATCGAGGACAGAAACCTGATACCTGATAACAAAATGAATAGCCATCAAATAACCGTTCTTGTTCACATAATTAAGCATATCGCAACCCCGGAACTCCCTTACCAGAAAATTATTTGCAGGTAGACTTTCGACAACACCCTTGCCACCGAAAAATCCGCGACCAAGTGGGCTGTATGGCACTATTCCGATTCCAAGCTCCCTGTGGTTCCAACAAAAGCGACAATATTTTCTCACATTGATCAATCGACTATGATGCGGGAACAATCAACCAGCCACAAAGTAGTTACCTGCAAAGCGGGACAATTTCTTCCTCGATATCTCGAGTCCAAAGGGACCACTCCATTTGTATAGCAGTTATGGGATGAACTGCATGAGCCCTTCTTATTGTGTCCGGGCTAGCTTCCGATAATCCGATGTACTTAATTTTTCCCTCATTCACCAGTTTCTTTAGCTCCTCCATCTGTCCTTACAAAAATAGTAACTGAGTAACAGAAAAAAGGACAAAGGCTTCATATTGCACTTCAAAAGTAGGGGAAAATATCTAACACTTACAGTGTCCTCTATGGGGACTGTTGTATCGATCCGGTGCTGATAGTAAAGATCAATGTAGTCCACGCCAAGGCGCTTAAGGCTAGCCTCGCAGCAGGAGCGGACATATTCAGGACTGCCATTTACTAGCATCTGATGAGGTTCGATTTTTACGATACCAAACTTCGTAGCCAACTGAACTTTGTCTCGTGGCAATTGCTTCAATGCCTGAAGTTAAACCGATCGAAGACAGCATAAATGACCAACATTAAATTCATACCGACAACCCTAGACACTCTTAGGCTCTTTTCAGAACCTGCTCCAATTTCGAGTCAAGAGATCCTAAACCCTTGCTTGCTGCACAAGGAAAATCAAAACTTTGAATTATGGAAAGACTAATTCAGAGCAGATTACCTTCCCAACCAAAACTTCATTAATATGAGGTCCATATACATCTGATGTATCGAAGAAAGTAATTCCCTTATCGAATGCGTGCTTGATGATCGATATGCCAAGCTCTTCGGGGACTGGATCGTTGTAGATTCCAGAAAGGCCCATACACCCAAATCCCAACTTGGAAACCTGCACAACAAATGAATTCACAATTTGCATAAAATCAATGTGAAGTAATGCTAATTTTTATTTGGAGGGAAGCAAAAAACATAACCGAGTTGCAGAAATGAAAAGCTAGAGTAAAGAATCTGAAATGGTTTCACCTCAAATCCCTGAGTTCCGAGTTGCACTCTTGGAATTTGAACTTTCTGCTCCTCCGCCATTCTTCTTCTTCGATCTTCTTCGATCTTGGTGCACTCTTGGAACTCTTTTTGTCCCCTGTTTGGTGAAGTGAGAGCGAATTTAAAGGCGTTTTACGCACTAAACTTCATGTCGTCATTGATTACATCAGCATATCTTTTAGATCACTGCGTGTGTCATTGGTCATTAAGGAACTAAATCCATTACTAAACTCGTGAGTGCTATATCAATATTATTTGGAAGTTTGTTAGTGCCCAAAAGTCCACTTCCAACAACATTTTGTTAATAAGGTGTGCTATCCACACATCCTATTTTATTTCTCACACATCCCTTGATAATTTCTATCTGTTGATCTTTTTCAATTTATCTGATCCGACGACCGAAAATTAAAACGGCATATTTTACTTCTCACACACTCCTTGATAATTTATGTCCGTTGATCTTCTTCAATTCAACCGATCCGATGACCGAAAATTAAAACGGTCTGTGAGAAGTAAAATGAGGTGTGTGAATATCACACCCCACCATCTGTTAGGTGTGACGTTTTATTACAAAAGGCTTTGGTATTAGTTTAAAAAGGGTACGATATTTAAACTCTTCTTTTCTCATAAATACGATCAATGTGAGATATTTCAACAAAAACCATACACTAATTGCGTGAAACGTTAAAATAATCTCTCTTATTACATATAATATCCCATTAAAATGTGCCTGACGTGTATGAGTCCAGTATAATTTTCAGAACAACAGTTTCTCGGATAAGTAGTCCCCGGATCTTTGTTCCGTTCATGAGCGTTACAATTTTGGAATGGAAATTACGCTTAGAAAAGAACTTAATACGATGTTGAAGTATCCATAACTGCTTCAAAGACTTCGACTGTATTGCAACTTTCTCGCAGAAACTGTGCAGATTCGATTGTGCATACAAACATTTAAGTTGGTCTGTTGCATTGTTTTGCTGGTGTGCTTGCAAACTTCCACGAGCAGCGCATAAGACTATCTGTTAATCTCTCCCCTGCTGCGGCATTGATCGATATCATATCCGAAATCTCTTTCATATCGTCTTTAGTGAGTTTCACTCTCAAGGAACCAATATTATCGTCAATGTTTTTTTTCTTAGTTGTCCCTGCAAAGACACATGAGAGATCAGTTCGCTTAACCTTTTTTTGTTCAAAATCGACGCGGTCCAGTTAGTAAGCTAATACCCACATACCAGGAATTGGTACCATGCCATCGCCTTGATTAAGAATCCACGAGAGCGCCATCCGTGCCGATGTCATCCATGATTTTCGGCCAAGTTTTGTTCCGTACTTATTCGGATAACAAATTGCAGCTGTCTTGAATTTAAGGAGATGTTCTTCAGATCATATATGTGTTACCTGAAAACTATTTGCAGGTAGTGTTGGAGTATGTGGCCAAGTGGCCAACTTTTGATTAAACAAATCAAAAAGAAAAAAAGACAAAATAATTATGTTTCCTTGTTTTGGGGAAAAGAAAAGTGAAATTTGTCTAAAGTTTTCTTTGGTCCATGTGGGAAGTCACGGATGAGGTTTTGTATGATAAGTAATTGCTACTTTTGATGAAGAGTAGTAATGAAACCATAGAAGAGGAAAAAACGCAGCAGAAAATAGAGAGCAAAACAAAGGTGTTGCAGCCCCATTTTGAAGAGAAGAAAGAAAGGTGATTTTCTTTCTTTGTTGGTACTCACTCAATCAAAGTTGTATTTGTGTATTAGCTTTGAGCTTTGTATAGAGAGGAAATTATTCACTATATTTCCCTCTCTATTTGTTTCTTTGGTGAGTGAGAGTTATTGGGTGTATTGGGGTTTTGGGTTGTGAGATTGCCAACACTTTGTAAACTCCCATTTGGATGATAGTGGATTATTGGGTGAGCTCCTACTGCTCCGAGGACGTACTCCAGTTACACTGACTGTTGAGGAACCTTGTTAAAATCTTGGTGTCTTTAATATTTTGTTCTTGCATTTCATTTGATATATTTTCTGTGGGTTATCAAGAGTTGGTTCCATAAGGTTTGGTGCTATCCTAGCACAACACAAAGAAGTCACCATTCTTTCTCTATCCTCGAATATTCATAAGCTCCCTCTCCCCACACCACTTGATATACCACAAGAACTTGAAAAATCATTTTTTTTCCCCACTAACTCAAAGGGCTTGCCACAATTATCAAAGAAAAATTGAGGCTGGGACATGCTAATCACGTCATCTGCAACGCATTTCTCATATTATCTGTATTGATTCTCTCAACTTCACGCAATTGTCCTAGTAGGGCAACTCTACCGACTTATCTTTCGTTATTAGTAAGTTGCAGGTTTTAGTTTTATTTCGTTTTGCTTTTTATTTTGAAATTTTTTTCTCTAGTTTTTCCCTCCTTGTGTATCTAGTTCATAAATGATGGAGAAAATCATTTGATACGTGAAACATGAAATTTGATTAAAAAGTGTACGAAATTAAGCTTAAATCAGCACACAATTAACTGAGAACAGCTTTTATTAGTACAAAAAAAAAAAAAAAAAAAGGCTTAAGCATCCAACAGAACTCGGCAGCATTCACCAAAGGTTCTCAAACTGTGCAGCAATTGGAACTTTAGTTGCACTTTCTAACAACAATCAGAACCAAACAAACATAATCACCTTAAAGCATTTCGGCGGTTCTTACGGATATTAGCTGCATAGTAAAAATTCTTACAGGAAATGCACAGACCCGATCACATACACGAACATTTAAGATGGTCTTCCTCCATCTCTTTGCGGTGTATCTGCGAACTTCCAAGAGCAGGGGATGAAAATTTCAGGTACATTATTCCCCGCCGCCGCATCCACTGGTACCATATCCGAAATCTCCTTTACATCTTCTTTTGTGAGCCTCACTTTAAAGGATTCAATATTATCATCAAGATTTTTCACCTTAGTTGCCCCTACAAGAAAACAAAATGGAAAGTCAGCAACTGGAAAAAAAAATCTAGCAATGTTTCCACTTTATTGCATTAGTTAAACTCATCAAATACCCTAAACCCTAGAGGCTAGATCAGGAAGGTAAGGGGCACGCACCGGGGATAGGTACCACATCATCGCCTTGACCACGAATCCAGGCAAGGGAAAGTTGCGCAGTGCTGCATCTATGCTTTTCAGCCAACTTTTGTATTCTACTATATGTAATCTTGCTCTTCTCAAGGTTGTCTGCTTGGAAACGAGGATGCCCGTACTGAGAGCATGATTGATTCGTCAAATCATATAATATAATTAGAATGAAAGAGCTTCAGGCTCACCTTCAAGGAGTCAATGTTTGAATCCAGGTTCTTAATATTTGTTGTCCCTGCAGTCGAAATTCAAAAACAAATAAACAATGTGTCGATGACGAGTTCTAAATCAGAATGTCATATACTTGGAGCTCAAGTAAGATGAACCGAAAGCCACTTTTCTATTCTATCTAAGACAACCATTATAAGAACAAGCACAAACTCATTGGCACGGAAACAACAAGCTGCAGATGCAACGTACCAGGTTTCAAATCAAATGAACTTGATGAGAACAAAAATGTAATGAGGACTCACCCGGGATAGGTACGACATCATTTCCTTGGTGGAGAACCCATGCTAGTGGTAGTTGAGCAGGAGAGCATGAAGACATGCTTTAAGTAACTTGATAAATTCAGCAGTGCAACACACATACCTTCCCAAGAAGAACTTCGTTCGTATGAGGTCCGTATACATCAGCTGTGTTAAAGAAAGTGATTCCTTTGCTGAAGGCATGCTTCATTGTTGTGATACCATCCACATTGGCAACAGGAGAGTTATAAATCCCACTCAGCCCCATGCATCCAAACCCCAGTTTTGAAACCTGATTAAAACAAAGAAGTTAGAAATTTTGCAACAAATCAGGAAAAAATCGATAGAAATCTTTTTTTATTTTTTTTAAATGAGTACACTTCCAACCACAGAAGTCAACCTCTGCAACAAAGGTTGACCTCAAAACTCAAAGGTCTCATTTGATAGAGAGGATTAGCTTGAATACGACAATTATTTATGAAGAAAAGTTGTCCCTTTTCATCCTACCATTTTTGTGAGGACTAAGAGGAATATCTTTTCTTCATGAGTGGTAACATTGAGAAAATATGGAAGTTCTCATCCATTTCTTCCTTCAAAATGCCTTCAGTGTAGTGAATAGCCATATCCAAGTTAATCCTCCTTATCAAATGAGGCCTAATGGAAACGGAGCCTAGAAAGCATTGAAAGAGGCAAAACACTTAGGCCTCATTTGGTGTCAAGGATTGAATCGGATTGGATAACTCAATAGTTGAATGGATGTTGATAGAAAATAAATGCCAAAGTTCCAAATTTTGTTTAAGCTCAAGCTCAAGAGATGGATCACAAGAGAAACTTATTCCTTCCAATAGGATTGGGAGGGATAAATTTCTTCATAACTAATTCATCTTCCATTCTTACTTCAACATACACTAAATCGAATGAGTTATCTGATCCACACCAGTCTTTGACACCAAAACGAGCCCTTACATCTCTTTCTTTAACCAAAAAAAAAAGAAACTAGAGATTAGTAGACTTTGGGCAAATTGTGCTAAGCAATGTACTACACAACCAAGCATATATATATATATATATATATATTCACTTCAAAACTTAATCCGAGTAACAAAAGACATAAATTGAAACAACTTCAGAATCCAAAAATGGATTAATTAATTAATTTATACCTAAAATCCACAGTTTCCAAGTTGAACTCTTAGAATCTGTATGTTGGGGCTTAAAAAGACTTCACTACTTTGGAGATGTTTATCTCACAAAGAAGAATGTACTGCAGTGGAATTGATAGGCAAGAGAAAGAAAGAACACTCAATTTATTCACTCACAAACTTAGTACAAGAGGAAACACTCAAACACTCTTACACTTCTTCACTCTTTGCTCACTTCTTGCTCTCTTACTTAGCAACACACACACATACCTATATTTATAGGGCATATTTGCCGACTTATTCATTCACTAGAATTTTCTAGTGCATTGATCATGCACACTTTTCCAATTTCAGCCAATATGTTTCTAGATTCTACCACAAACAAAAACATTTTATATTTTCTTAAGCATAAGGTGGTGGACTTGACTATACCACCAATTGCTGCACTTTGCTAGAGTTTTCTAGCATATCACTTCACCGACAACCTTTTGCTAGCATTTTCTAGCACATTTCATGAGTTTTCTATGGGCTGGATCATCTTCTTAGGCTAAGAACAAGATTACATTTCAACATCCCCCCTTAATCTTGTCTTGTGACGCCGATTGAGTTCCTCAGTCTGATAAAGTCTTCTTGTTTGAGTGGCTTGGTGAATATGTCAGCGATTTGGTCTTGAGACTTCACGTATTCCACTTGCACATCCTTTCTTGCAATGCACTCTCTTATGTAGTGATAACGGGTATCTATGTGCTTGCTCCTGTCATGAAATACTGGATCTAAAGCTATTGCAGATTTGTTGTCGACATAGATCTCTGTTGGCTCTTCTTGTGGCATGCTTAATTCTTTTAGTAAGTTTCTCAGCCAAATTGCATGACAGACACATGAGGTAGCAGCTACGTATTCAGCTTCGCAGGTAGAGAGGGTGACAATCGGTTGCTTCTTCGACATCCATGTGAATGCAGTGTCTCCCATGAAGAACACAAATCCAGTAGTGCTTTTTCTATCGTCGGAATCTCCTGCCCAATCACTGTCGCTATATCCAGCAAGTTTGTAGTTATCAAAACTTGAACAGAACAAGCCAAAGTTAATAGTACCTTTAAGGTATCGAAGAATTCTTTTGGCGGTCTTCAATTGTGTAGTTATGAGATTCTCCATGTAGCGACTGATTAATCCGACGGCGTAGAGAATGTTTGGTCTTGTGCATGTCAAGTAGCGCAAGCTTCCAACTAAACTCTTGAAAAATGTTGGATATACACTTTCTCATTTGTCATGCTTGGTTAGTTTGACTCCACACTCCACTGGCATGCTTATGGGCTTGCAGTCGTCCATTTTGAACTTTTTGAGTATCTCTTTTGTGTAGCTTTCTTGGGAGATGAAAATGCCTTCTTTGTTCTGCTTGACTTCAATGCCTAGGTAGGATGCCATCAGCCCGATGTCGGTCATCTCAAATTCTTTGGTCATCACTCTCTTGAACTCTTCATACATACTTGGATTACTTCCGGTGAAGATTAAATCATCCACATATAAGCACACAATCAGAATATCTTCATCTTTGACTTTGACGTAGAGAGCATGTTCATGAGGGCACTTGATGAAGTTGTTCTCCTGAAAGTACTTGTCGATGCGACTATTCCACGCTCGTGGTGCTTGTTTTAACCCATAGAGGGCTTTCTTCAACTTCAGAATTTTGTCTTCATGCCCTTTGATTTCATAGCCTGATGGTTGCTGAATGTAGACTTCTTCTTCAAGGACTCCATTTAGGAAAGTGGACTTCACATCCATTTGTTGAATCTTCCATTTGTTTTGAGCTGCCAAAGAAATTAGTAATCGTATAGTTTCCAACCGAGCAATAGGTGCAAATACCTCATCATAGTCGATTCCGGCTCTTTAACTATAGCCCTTCGCCACTAGTCTCGTCTTGTATCTTTCAACCTCTCCGTTGACATTCTTCTTTGTCTTATACACCCACTTGACTCCGATGGCTTTGTGTCCTTTCAGAAGAATAGCGAGTTCCCATGTATCGTTCTTCTGGATTGCTTCAATTTCTTCATCCATTGCTTTCATCCATTTAGTATCTTGCACTGCTTCTTGGAAGTCAACTGGTTTACAATCAGCAAAGAGACAGAAAAGTGTAGGATTATCGAGTATTTCAGCTACCTCATAAAGATCTCGTAGACTTCTTGTACATGGTACTTCTCTTTCATTTAGACTCCCACTTGATGATGCTGATGCTGGTGAATTACCATGATTGGTTGATGTTGGTGAAGCAGGTGGAGTAGTTGACTTTTGTTGAACCTCTCTTGCTTGCTCCATCGTCCCTTGTTCATTCTCTTCTTCAAACTGAGGAAAGAAGTGAAGATCACCTGCATGAGAGCAAAAATCCCATTCTCTTTCCTTATCGAACGTCACGTCTCGACTGATCACCATCTTCCCATTGTTTAGATTATACAGCTTATAGCCTTTTGAATTTGAGTCATAGCCGATAAAGATGAACTTCTCACTTTTGTCGTCGAGTTTGGTTCTCTTCTCGTCTGGTACATGTACATGGGCTATGCTTCCAAAAATTCTTAGATGAGAGATACCTGGTTTTCTTCCACTCCATGCTTCTTGCGGAGTCTTTCCCCACACACTTCTTGTTGGAGACCGATTAGATAGGTAGACAGCACATGTTATCGCTTCTGCCCACAACTCCTTAGGCAATCTCTTGCTTTTGAACATGCTTCGAGCCATGTCGAGGATGGTTTGATTTTTTCTTTATGCCACACCATTTTGTTGAAGGGATCTTGGAACTGTCAAAGGTCGACGAATTCCATTGACTTCACAGAATTCTTGAAATTCCTTTGAAGTGAATTCTCCTCCCCGATCAGATCTCATGGCTTTGATCTTGCAACCACTTTCTTTCTCTACAGCAGCTTTGAACTTCTTGAATGCTCCAAATACCTTTGATTTCTGCTTTAAGAAATACACCTAGGTTTTCCTTGAAAAATCATCAATGAAGAGAAGGAAATAATTATTTTTACCTAAAGAGCTTGGTTTTATTGGACCGCACACATCGGTGTGAATGAGCTCGAGTGGCTTCTAGGCTCTTGTGGCCGACTCCTTTGGAAAACTTTTCCTGAACTGTTTCCCAAGTAAACATCCTTCGTAAACTTGATCAGGGTGACTGATGCACGGTAAGCCTTTCACCATCTCCTTCTTGGATAATAACTCCAGTCCCCCAAAGTTAAGATGCCCAAAACGAAGATGCCAAAGCCAGGATGCGTCTTTTTAACATATCTTGAGACACTTTGCAACATCATTTTGAATATTCATAGGAAACGTCCTATTCTTTGACATTTTCACCTTGGCAATTAATCTTCCCTTGTCATCTCTAAGAAAAAGGCTATAATTTTTCATGTGAATATCATAACCTTTTTCTAAGAGTTGACCCAAGCTCAAAATGTTGCTTTTCATATTGGGCACGTAGTAGACACTTGAAATTAATTGGTGACCGCCATTTTTCAGGGGAATTAGGATGTTACCTTTTCCTTTGACGGGTATTTTGGATTCGTCTCCAAAAGAAACGTTGCCACTCACCGATTCATCGAGCTCTACGAACATGCTTCTTCTTCCACACATGTGGTTACTGGCGCCTGTGTTAAGATACCATGTATAGTCTTGGTCTCCATCATTGTTCTGGTATGCCAGTAGCACAACGCCATTATCTTTTTTCTCTTCTTTCACATAATTGACCTTCTCATCAAGCCTATTGCTTGGAGCTCTACATTCCCAAGCATAATGCCCAAACTTTTGACAGTTGTAGCATTGAACTTGAGATTTTTCATACCTCAAGTTTGAGCGCCCTCTTCCACGACCATTTGTTGAGCTTCTTCCTCTTTTGTAGTTGCTATGATTGTTGAAGTTCCAACCACGTCCACGTCCATGTCCACGTCCGTG